TAAAGCGTGGCCTCGTTTTATTTAAATTGAGGGATTCCTGCCTGTCCGTGACTCACAGTATCTGCTGCCCACAGCTGTTTTATAGAAGGAAAACCTCCTTCACTTTATGAAATCTCTGCGGCACCAGTGGCCTGTACTACGAAGCAGGATTTGCTATTTACACTATTCATTCATGAAGTATGACGCTGCGCTGTCAGCACGCGTCTCCATGTTTGTGATTGGTCAAATGTTGCTAACCCCGTCCCTTTCACTTGCACGCGCTCTCAGCCGGTCAGAGAAACCCTTGTTGATTTACTGAGTTGATAACCAGCTTCGTAGGACCGCTTATCGACATCGCGTTTGTTAGGGTTAGTTAAGCCGGGTAAATCGAACATATCCAGGGTCTGTTGAACTGGCTTCGTCGTACAGGGCACTGGAGGCAGTAACGTGTAACTCAGCAGAATCTGAGAAGAGCAGCACCAGCTGCAAAGAGCTGTGCCTTTTACTGTTTACTTCACTGCGTTTCCCTTCATTAGAACCGCTGAATAGAGATCCAGGCTGCTACGTTTAACCACACACACCTATACACACATCGAACTACCAGAGTATTCCCCCTCGTTTTATGAAGGAGATGTCCTGTCACCGGGGTGTGTGATGTGTGTGTGTGTTGTGCTCAGCTCCGCTCTGTGTGTGTGTGTTCGGTGTGTTTGTCCGACACCACCGGCATTTGTTTTCAAATTACCACGAACAGTAATTTACACAAATCTGGTTCTCCATAGTTATACTTATATGTGTATTCCCAAGTGAAAGAAATTCGTTTAATCTTAATCTCGATGTGCTCCAGTCCTGCCGGAGTGCACCGGAACGAACGATACTATCATAAACAAATGCCCCCATACACACACACACACGCACACAGACACACACGCAAAACGAGGCCACGCTTTATTAACTCGTGCGCACGCTTTAGTAACTCGTTGCCGCACCGAGTTACTAAAGCGTGCGCACGAGAAGTTATCTTGTGCGAACGAGAAAGTAAAACGTGGCCACGTTTTATTTATTTTTCTCTCTATGGACCCTCCAGGGCTCCGTAGTTTTGCTTATGTAATTTTGTTTTAAAAAAGGTAAATTTGTTTTATAAAATGTACATTTGTTTTATAAAATTTAAATTTGTCTCAAGCTTTGTTAAAGTGGTTCACACGTTGTAATTGTCGATTGCACCTCTCAGCCACCGTACTGATGCCACCACAGAGTCATAGACGGTCTGTATGAAGGACCCCTGCACCCCAAAAGGCCTCAGTCTCCTCAGGTACACTCTGCTCTGTCCCTTCTTGTACAGAGCAGCAGAGTTGTCTTACCAGTCCAGTTTATTGTTCAGAGGAACACCCAGGTACTTGTACGATTCCACAATATCAATTTCTGGCACCTGGATGTTCATTGGGAGAGTGTTACCAGAAGAGATTGCAGGGAAATTCATTGTTGCCTCATTCACTGACCGAGAAAAAAGATCTGATTAAAATACATATTTGGTATTAATATAAGAATTTAAAGACACATCAAACAATCAATGATAAAAAAGTGCATCTTTTATTTATTTCAGTTTTTTCAGGGTTATATTTGCTTTGAAAAATGCAAGGTTTTGCCTGATTTGAAAACCATATTTTCATCCAAATCATCAAGAGTGAATAGTTTCTCATTAAAAACATACTAAAATATGAGAAAGTAAAGTGTGGAAATATTTAAAATACAAACAACCTTTAACAACAGTACACATTGAGTGTGATGCATGTCAAATGTGTAATGTACTGTATCACAGTTGTTGCTAAGACGCGGCGCCAAACAGCAGCGCCATAAATGTTCATTACATCAGGGACACACACCTATTTACTGTGAGGAGGGAGAAGGTCCTACAGTAGTGATAAGGACATCAAATAAAAAGGCTTTGGGGCATGGTTGCACTTTTCCATTCGATAGGCTTAAGCTTTTTCTCTGAGGAATGTTTCTGTTGAGTTAGCAGGTGTGTAGTGTACTTGTATTCAGTGGACTTGATGTATTTAGGGTGGTAATGTGTTTGTGAAAGTGTTAGAACAAATGTTGTAGAAACCCCCTAATTATATACACCTTCCCAAACCTCTCAGTTGTCACATTGTTTTCAATGTGAAATGAACTCCCAAAGGTTGAAGAAAACCAGACCCCTTCCCCCAGCCCGCAATGCCCCTCCACAGTGGGCTCTACATGGCTGAATGTGTGCCCCCCCTGCCCTGCAGCTGGAGGTGTCTGTTTCACAGGCCTCTGTAATGCGGGACCTGAGAGGATAAGGTTTCACAGGTACAAAAGTTTCCGCTTTAATCCTATCACACAGAGTGAGTGGTCAGGGCTCAGGGCTCACGCATAATCCCGGGTTTATCCATTCTGGTGAGCCCAGAGACAGAGAGTGGGCAGAGAGGAAGAGATTACTGTCCATTTCTGATTTTATTCTACCAATGTTTGCACAGCACACGGCGAGAAGTATCTCTCAAAAGAAATGCAGCTTTTCACACTTCAGTGCACGCAGGAGGAGATCGGTAATAGATAGGTAACTGTTTCCCCCAGAAACTGTTTAACAGGTTGATGTTGAGAATCTGAGGGTCTTTGACAACATGAAAATAATTGTATTCATGCCCATGAGAGGCCTTTTATGTCTTATGTTGGCTAAAGAGGGACGAGAACTTCATACACTTCCCAAATACCTTTAAATAATTATATTAGAAGTCAAGTAAAGTTCAATTTTAGTATCTTGTTCCACAATATCTCTTCTGCAGTGACTCGCTGCAGTCTGATCAGGTCAATTTCAAATTTCAAAGGGTGTTAAATAAAAAAGGAGGGTCTCTCTAATTGTTGACAGTTTGATGCTGTGTTGGTGAAGAGCTTATCAATTTCACAGCAGGCGATTTTGCACTGAAACAGGCTTCGACGTGGCCTCCTCCGGAGAATACAACCTGCCCCGGCCTCACATTGAGCCCCGTCACAGCTGAAGGGACGCATCAGGCTGCATCATGAATATCTTGACAGAAGGACTTTGGTGAGAAGATAAATGTTAATATTTGAATATTGATTTCTGTAGTTCAATGGCCTTAGTAGAATAAAAGTGTTTTTTCTGTCCTGAAACGTTTGCACCTCAGAAGGCGTGCTGGAGTTTGAAATGCTTTTGATTCATTGAAGAAAGCACACATCCTCAGAAATGTAATACATATTCACACTGACGACCACAAAGCAGATTGCTGCATCCTTCCACAGGTCCCTTGAAGTGTGAGACTTGAAGGAAGAGTGGTTCTTTTGAAGGCAGGTAGAAGGCGTTGCGGGGCTGAGAGGTGCTGGGAAGGGCATGTCCAAACAGACTTTAGGCTCTGAGTGATGGGACACGGGAAATGGTAAGAGGACACCTCGCTCTGCTCTCATGTCAACACAGTCATGTGAAATACAGCTGTGAGAGCGTCTGAAGGTCCAGGAGACAATAGACTCTCAGCAAGAACTATCTCAGCTTCTACACATTCAGCAAGCTTTGTGTTGATCAATATACATGTCAGCAGTAGCCTATTTGTGTTTCTATTTAAAAAAAACGTTTGAAATGAATTAAATAGATCTCTAATTATGTGTATCTCTCTTCAAGGCTTTTGCAAATAAATCCCACGTGAAAGTGGATACAGTTCAATGCATGACTTCGGTTTAAAGAGCTAAGCACTGCCGCTACCATGAGCCATGAATCGACGAAGGTAAGTAAAGTAATCCATGGGGAACCTCTGCAGTTGCTATGGGATACAGTACTTGGAAAGAGTGTAGAGAAAATCAACAGTATTGTGATAAAGTGTGTAAAAAAACTAGTTAGCAGAGAGGTCCAAACTACAGAAGCCATGACTTGAAACTAAGAAGAAATACATATTTTTCCCCATATTTTAACTAATTATAATGCTGTGTTTTGACTTAAGAACATGTCAGAGAAAATAAGGTATAAAGTGAGAAAATAGTAAAAAAAAATAAATTAAAAAAAAGAGGTGAAAACCAATGAATAAATGGTGAATCTTTAAACAGTCAAACAATGAATACACTTTGAATGAAATTGTTGGATAAAGGTAATGGATAACCAGTGGAGTGGCAATATTTGAATTGGAGGTAATTCAACCATTTATTACAATCAGCTTTATAGTTATGACCAGATTGCTCACTAGTTGAATAGTTAGATGCAAGTATTAGATAAATAGTTGAAACATCCAGCTTCTGTCTTTCCAGATGGTGGAAAGGGTAAATGTACAACACATCACATTTCAAATAAACTTGAGACATTTGAAACAGGATAGCTAGTGTTTTGAAAATATACTTACAGTAAGATGCTGACTGGTTGGGTCACATCTCAAAAGATTGTTGGGAACAACTGGTCTCTCCATTTGTTCAGAATCAAAGTGTGAGTCTTTTCTCAGTGCTCTCAAGATTTTAAGATATAGGCCTGTGAAAACGATCTTTACATTCTTTCTTAAGTCAGACCATTTTACAAAATGTACCCATAGTTAAACAGGCAAATACAAGAAAATATGCAAACTGTTATTCTATAGCCCCCCTGTTTCATGGAAAGGTAATGTCTTAAAATTGTGGTACGAGATATATTTCTGCATTGACATCATCTCAGAGATAGAGGGCAGTAGAGATCAGTGAAGCCCATGTGCCTATTTCCCATATTTCTCCTAAACCTCTCTCACCATTATTTAAATGTAACTTTTACATTGAACCCCCAAATATGATTTAATTCTAATCTCAATAGTTGTTGGGGTTTGTCCATTTTCCCGCAAATCTAAAACATTACATTTCAAACCACAGGTTACAAGTTGGATGTAATACTTTTAAATCATTGGTAGTAAGACTTAATCTAATTCGTTTTTTTACATAACACACAGAACATGTCATTGAGTATTGTAGATTTTCTGTTTTGCAGTGAGTTACTCCAGAAATTCTTCATAAATGTCACTGAAATGTGTCTCCATGGCAGGCCACTAATACATCATGATCTCCTTGGGGGCGTCCTCTGTAGGCCTCTGCTGTTCTCTCCGGTGTGTGTAGGCTGCCTGGTCGTAGATGTAGATCACAGCGATGGCTACCAGTGAGAGCACTGTGTAAGGGATGACCAGGTAGTATCCGAGCATCATCTCTGTCGACTCGTTCCTCAGGTCTGCTGGAGTAATTCCCGCCGAGTGCTTTACTAACTTCTCTGCCATTCTGGTCACTGTCAGGTTCACCGCAAATAGGATGAGGACCAATACAGACAAACATGCTGCAAGAGAAAGAGAGAAACATGATATACCTGATAGGAATTCCATCAAATTGAAATGTTTCTACACAAACATGTTGGCTAAAATAAATGTACAATATCAAAATGCATAGAAAATCCTTATATTCTTGTAAGTGTATATATGGATTTGTATGTTTTTGCATACTTGTGTAGAAAGGCCTATACATACACATGTTTTTATCTGGGTGTGTGTGTGTTTTATGAATGTTCATTATCTCTAGTTACCTGCTTATTTGTATTCAATGTTTTGTTGGACAAGTTTCTGTTTTTACAGTAAAGAATGTGTAATGGCGGATTTGAGGAATTACATTTGTAGCGATTTGATCTTTTGTTCTTTTTGTTTGTCTTTTCTTTCTTTCTTTCTTTCTTTCTACACTTGTTTGTGTATGAGGTGTTGGGAAAGTGAGAAATAAGTCAAATGGATATTATTGACAAGGAACTGGATTATTTTCAAGATATTATCTGTGTATTATTAAAATGAAAATAACATTTTTAAATCTCACAGTAAGCATCATCACCACCAGTAAATCATGAATCACTTTCCCCAGCTTTGCTCAGGGGCCTCAACTCCTTGACGCTTATTGCTCTGACTTTGTGTCACTTACCACTGAGCGAGCTGCAGACATATAAGCCAATCGGCCCCATGTAGGTCTCATATGGGTTGCTGACACTGTTGTACAGGGAGATAAGGATGCTGCAGGCAGAAAACAGCAGACACAGGGCCAACAGGCACAACACCAAAGCGTGAAGGACCACAGAGGGAACTTCTCCTGTTTCCACCAACTTAGGAATCACTAAAACACACAAAATCACAATGTACAAAGTCATGAATTTGGGCTAATGTAATTAAGTACACCTTGAATGCACTGCACTATATGACAAACTGCATGCAAATCTGGCTAGCAGCAATGTTCAAGTTGGTTACCTTGGTTGGTTATTGGCTAATGGTTACACAAGCCAAAATATCGTTATGACATCATAAAGTGGCCAAAATCTGATCAGATCATTTTCAGACAGGTTTTTATATAAATGGATCAGGACAAAAAGTGAGCAAATCTTTTTTTCTGAAACTTTCAGAATTTCTTTACACAGATGGGACACATTTTTATGTAGAACAGACATGAAAATGTGGACTTTGCATAATAGGTGACCTTTGAGAATACCTTCGACAGAAGAAAGTGGGGCACTGCTTCAAGAAAGACATGCTGCTGTGGAACTCTTTCGATGTATTGTTAGTGTTGTTATTGTAGGCAAACATCTCAGAGACAGTTAAAACAAAGGAAAATCAAATCAAAAGTATAGGAATGGCTTGATTCGAGAGATGTTTAAGGGATAGAATATATACCTTCAAATTTCTCTGCTTTTCCGAACAAGGGGCAATAGTCTCTGTTCAAATCCCCCTCAAAAAGCTTCCAAGTGATCAGAGCACTCCCATTGGTGAAGGTATCTCCTCTTCTTGTGCACTCCATGGTGGTCTCAGCCCACTGTGTTGACATGGAGTATCCCAACACTAAAACAGAGAGGGAGGTAGCCAGCGCACTGGACAAGAAAAGCAGAATCTTCATAATGGAAGGCATTATCGCTGTATTCCAGTTGGACTAGTTCAATCTAAATCCCGGCGTCTCGTCTCTAAAACTCGGATGAAGCCTGAGAAGCAGATTAGGACCCCCTGATCCTCTAAAGACTCTGGGTATGAGCTACCTTCCTGGGTGGAGTGGACTGCTGGTCATAAAATCTCTTGATTATGGCAGTGACCTTTGGTTAGCAAAGAAAACACAGAGCTGGTTGTCATGGAAGGGACAGCAGTTTCCTCCCTGCGTCATCTGTGGCCATATGTGTTATCTGAATGGTCTGCGATGATTGAGAAATATTTTCAAATTATTTTCTTAATTTTAAGTACTAACAGTTGATACAAAATAAAAATATAGCAAAGCTGATTCAGTTCTTGCCTGAAATACATTCAAGAAATGTTCTTAAAGACACCCACACTTTGAGGGAACCACGTTCACAATATTGGGTTCAAAGTCCTTTTTTCAAATTATAGGGTCATAAAACATAATGCAGATTAATTATTTACCTGACTCCCTAAAAAGAGTTACTGGAAGTCGAATGGTATGATCTCATGTGAGTGATATAATCACGTAATAAAGCCATGATAAGGGGTTGTTATTATTGCATAGAAGATATCAGGGTTGGTTCACGATTAGAAATGTTAAAAGTGCAACATTGTTTTTAACAGATATTATTTTTCAGTTAAAATTGGCGACCTTGTTTGATTAATAAAGAGGAAAAACACAAAGAAAACTGACCTCTTGGTGTAAAATGATAGTGTTGGTGATAGTGTTGGTGCCATTGACTTATGGAGAGGAAGAGTGCGCTCTTTTCCAGCGGGATTTCCACCACTTCCTGGTTCCTGTTAATGGTAGACAATGTGTCTATGCTTTTATGAAATGCTTCTATAAATCCTCTTTCCTTAGATGTAACTACAATAAGAAGAGGTTCATCATTTTAGCAACATGTTTATAAAAAGGTATTTCATATATCAGGGGTTCCCAAACTTTGCCATGCCAAGGACCCCCATATAGCATTATCCTCTGGCGGGGACCCCCCTGTTGCAAATTTTTTTTTAAATGATGTGTACAAGTGCCTCCCGATGGAGCATGCAGTGTGTTGCCACTACATTTGGGGCCTTCTGCCTGATCGAAGCTGTCAGTCCGCTTTCTTTGCCTGACATAGCCCCACTGCTCCATCTGAACACACACCCACACAACGAGACCAGTCAAGTCCGTTTGAGATGATGTACTTATCTAAAACTTGGAAAATGTCTCTTCATGTGGTCCTACCTTCCAGTGCTTTGCAAAATAATATTTCCTCAACAACAACAAACATTCACTAGCTCTCACTTGCTCCAAAAGCTAAGCAGATTTTCCCTCGCAGTAGCGGCAGCTCGATTCTGATCGGCTTGAAGGGCGGTCGTGTGATTCAAAAACCCAAAATATGAAAAGATTGGCATCAAAGGACACATAGATTGATAGATATGCAGTTATTAATAACATCAACAACAAAAAAATCAAACTTAAAAAAAAAAAAAATATCCTGTTTCCCTCAAACTTTGAGTAACCCCCCTGGCGCACCCTGTCGGCCCACTTTGAAAAACACTGTCATACATGACTTTCATACATTACATAATAACATGTATGAATGGACGATTATAATGTGTCCTAACCATTTTTTTATTTACAATTGTATTAAAGTCCTACAGATCACGTTTGATAAAGAATAATTTTAACTTTTTACATTTTTATTTCATAACTTAAATTCTTTTTTCACAGTGTGGTACTTTAGTTATGAAGAAGCAATGATACATTACATTACACACAATGATTCAAATCATTCAAATCATAGTTATCAGTGAGGTTGTTTTTGACAAATAACGTTCCGCATTGTATTCAAACAGGAATTCAATTGACAATTACAACAACTGTGGACAAACTGGACCACCTACACTACAGTAAGGAAGCAGACATGTTGTAACACAGTGTGTGACCAGACGGTGGCTCCCTTTTCCTCTCCAGAACAGAGAGGACCGTGCTCGCTGACAGCCAGTTGTGTTTTGTAGGAGTAAACACAAACTCCTCCTTCCCGGTGACAGGCGGCAACACTGAAGCATCGCCTCGCCTTTTCCAGCCCGGTCTGCTCCGGGACTAACCGTCGGTGCCATCAAGGTGAGTGATCTCATTACTTCGTGTCATCGCTCTGTCCTTTGCATCTCAATTTTCGCGCAGAACACGTCAAATTCCAAGTCCTTTTTTTTCTTCCAGTCACACAGAACGCCGTGTTACCTGTCCGTTACGCACAGCAGCGCGCGGCTGATTTTCACCCATTTCAGGTGCGTTTTTAGCTTTTACGTTGCCGTGAATACATTCCTCGTTAAACCGGCGATGTTTACCGTGTTTTTACATTCTGAGAGCTCTCTGTTTTACTACCTGCAGCAGCCACTTCAGTCAGTGTCAATGTGGGTAAATGGAGCAAGAGTTTGTGTCCTCCCCTCGTGTTTTTCCTCTCGTTTGTATGTTTGTCTTTCATTACAATGAAGATTTTGAACGTTTGCTTCATATTTGGTGACTAGGTGCTTGTCTATGTGGGCTGCAGTTGAGCCGGTTTCAACATGTAGGGAAACATATTGGTACTTCAGATATGATGGATGGATCTGCTAAGACTTGTTACTGTAGGAGGTCTCCTCAAGGTGTTTGAGTTATGTGGTAAGATCACTAAGATGTTGACTCTTGCTTTGGTTGCTTAATGTTGTGTTGGCTTCACAGGTTTTGATTAAGTCGTGGTTGGACATGATATCCATCTCCAGAGGGAGGGCAGGTCTGTCCCCGGGGGGGGGGGGGGGGTCAGAGGTCAGGGTCAGCAACACATCAGCATCCTTGGAGCAGATTGTCTCCAACAGGCAGGGAGCTGGGTAAAGGGAAGAGGAGGTTAACCGTGTCGGACATTTGTCTAATCAGACCATGGAAATGAAAAGTTAAATGAACCCAGACATCATCAACATTGTGCTCCACTGACCAGCCACAAGAGAACTTAAGGACTCTGACAGCCTGTATTCCTGAAGACGCTTTAATGTAGACATCATTATGAAACTGAAAACTTCAGAGAGATACTGCTAGATTCTTCTTCTTCTGCTAGTAAATCTTTTTAGACCATCTGACAGGGACATGTGTTGCATGCTGAGCAAGGCTGCCTTCAGGATAAACAGAGGAGAAAACAGACACATTTTAACATAGAAAGTTGAACTACTGTCACAATTATAAGAAATGACCCTTATTTATTTTGAATACAAAATTCTAACAAGCCAAAAACAAGGGTTTCGAGTTCAGCCCCTCGCTGTCTTTATACTGTAGGACCTTCACTGAAATGTGTAACAGGTTGCTGTCACTTCTAGTTCTGCTCCCTTTCCACTGAAAAAGGCAGCATTTTCAAATAAGTCTCACTTTTCTTCATTCTAACTTAAATAAATAGAACTAGAGCTCCTAAGTTTGATCAAATATTTGTCAACTATTAACTCATTTTATGATATAAATAAGTTTGAGTAATTCTTTAGGACCAGAAAGATTTGTCTGATTCAAGCATCTTAAATATGAATATGTTGTTGTATCTTTACTTCTCCATCAAAGTAAAGTAAATATTTAAAAATCGTGAAAAAACTGCAAAACACTTCCACACTCATTCTGACATTTTATAGAACACAATCAACAGATGAATCAACATTGAAAATAATATTCATTTGGAGCCATACAATATACTGTTTATTACACTTTTTAATAACCAGTTAAAAAACATTTTTCCATATTTATTATAACACACCTGGCTGCATTACACTATTTAGTGTATGCAGAAGTATCCTCATTCATCTTGATTTAACTATGTTATCTCTTCTGTCCTACATATAACAGCGGTGATTTTTCAGTGTAAATTCCATATCAGTTACACAGTATACTGTAGGTCGTTGGAAGAAGGACAATTACTCTGGCAGAAGCTAATAAGGATTCATTGAAATAAATAAATAGTAATCGCTCTTGGAGACAAATGAGACTGTGGTGGGACGCAGGAAGAAATAACATTTAACTGCTGAGTGCTGTGTGCAGATTGATTCGGCTTCTATCTCGTTTCAATTTATATTTGCCTCCAGTTAAATGTCTTACTCTTGTCAGGCCTCTGGAGAAGAATATCAACTGTGCAGTATATCTTGCGCGATGATTTCACTGTGATAAAGAAGGTTGTTTTTACACATTCTACATTTCAAAATGGAGCAAAAACTCAACAGGTTTCTAATTGCAGTAGCTATTCCAACCTGCGTTTAATTGTTTTTTTATCACACTGCCAAGAGGTTATTTTTTTTCTTTTTGTCTGCTATAGTTAGACCTGCAAAAAGGCATATTGGTATGCTTGTCAGGTGCCTGTTATTGGAGTGTGGGTGTGCCACTGTGTGAAACGAACAGATGTGGTGATTAATGAAATCCACAGCAAGGTGGAGAGTCATGAATTGTGCATACCTGGAGTTAACAGCTTTCTGGGTATAAACTTTAAATTGCCAGCCTGGAGTAAATCCCTGAAGCTCGCCCACCCTCTATCTCTGTATCTGCCACCTCTCTCTGAGTCTAGGAAACACTCAGAGCCTGACTTTTTAAACTGTGAGACTACACGCTGTGCTGCGCACTCTCTGAGGCTGCAACCACATCAACTAAACTCTGCTTGGAGGTACACTTTTTTCTCAAATAGGCGGAGAAGGAACTAATTGGTATAAAGTCCCGACAATTAGTGATGTGCCTGGTTTGACCCAGAACGTGTCAGATCCTTGCTGGCAGAAATAGTTTTAACCAGCCTTGGAGAGGGGCTCATGAATAAAACATTAGGACTTTCATAGTGATCTTACTTTTAATACAAACAGCATCCGACCTGTTCTTTTTCCTTAGTGGGAGCTTGTTAAAACAAATTAAGCTGCAGTGTGTTGCAACCGTATGCTTGTTTGTGCTTGCGGATAGTGCTACAGAATGCAAACCCTGCAGTCATC